TTTGCAAGCTGAATCTACGCAGAAAACTATTTGAAATAGGTGAACTTTTTCAAAATCAGGTCTCCAGGTTCAAAAGAAAAAAATTGATTGTCAAAAAGTACAGACATTCATTTTTTATTCACCATCCATCATGAGAAAATAACAACTCTGTCTGACAAAATACTATATCAGTACGAAATTCTCATATATACATATATATCCATATCAGCTCGTAGCAATTTTTGTGAAGCATTTTGTTTTTTTTTTGTTCAATACTTAGTTCAGAAAACATGTAGAAAAGAAAAAGAGACAAATGACAACACTGAAATAGTGCTTACATGTCTATTTCATTGAATAGCACAACTAGGGTAGCAATAGAGTGGATACACAATGATAGTATAGACTTCAAGTTTTCTTTCAATATCAAAATGATTCATTTATTCGAGAACGATGTTTATATGATGTGAAGAAAAAGAAATCTTCTCGCTCTCTTGTCTATTTTATCATCATATAAACTTGATATAGTTTCATGACGAACAACACATGTGCTTTTTTTAGATAAGTAAAAACAAATTGTGATGAATCACTTCTTTTTATTCAAATATGTACGTACGATGATCAATATAATTTATTAACAGTATGTAATACAGATTAAGTTTTATTTTCATTTTCATTCTTATTATCTTGATTCGCTACCTTATTCATCCTATAGTACAAATTCTTATCTATTTCGTCAACAAACACATTCTCATTTGGCATCATTAAATGTTTTATTTTTCATCTTATCAACATGCGTTTTCATCATCAACATTTCAACTTGCTCATAGAGATGTAATATCCTATTCCAATTATGATACAACTTATTTCAATGTAATATTAGTTTTTCCAGACATAGAGGAGGATTGTATCGAAGAGAAAGTTTTAAGATGAAACAACGAATAAGAACACATATTCTTTTGAGATACTCGGAAATAATGTAATCTTGTGAGAAGCACTAATGTGATAGATAGTTTAACTGTGAGCGAGAGAAAACTAACAATGACAGTCAATGGTTACCAAAAGAAGAGACAAATTTGAGTAAGAACCTCATTTCAGAAATTTGACTTGCAAAACCTCTTATAGAAGTTTAGATAGAGATTATTCATTATGCTGAGCCGAACTCTGATGTTTATTTTCAGTTTCCAAGCGATCTAAGACTACTATTTCAAGTTTTTTCAAAAGTTGGATAATTTTGCTACTTAGGGTAAATTTTTGACATTTCAAAAATACTGTATGTTGGTATTGATAGTAGCACGAATACATCTACAGTTAATCTATCTTACCCTTAACTAGCATCTGGAGCAATCAAATCGAACGTTGGGAAAGTTCACCACAAAAAGTTTTAATAAATATCGGTATTTCATAGAGAAATCATTTCTGGTATTGTTCATTTCAGAATGAAGTGAACGTGGGCATATTTTGAATAGTTTTAAAACAACAAGGAAGAAATAATTTGGTTTTTTTAGCACTATCTAGAGTCGACATTACTCTATTTTTTTGCAAAGTCAATGAAAAATCGCAATCGCTTTTCTTCTTGGATACATCCGGCGCTTTATAAATGAGCTTTATCTGTCATGGAAACAAAACACTTTTTCGACTATAATATAATAGCCAGATAGCTCAGCTTCTCCTCTATCGATCCACACAAGGTAGAGATTGATAACTATTTGCGTTCAAAAAATAGAGAGATATTACTAAAGGCTAGTCGCCAAATTTCCTCAAAATCCAAGCAGCTAACTAAATATTTTCTCCTGTAAGTTCTTAGCCGCTGTCAACTTCATGACATCATTTATTAACCTTGAAAGATTTTTTTCTACTAGAAATATCATCAAAAATCATACATTGAGAGGCGTGAGTGTTCTATCTGAGGTTTAATAACTCCCTAATTAGGAGATTCTTTCCACCCACACCACACCCTGTTATGTATTACAAATCTTCGTCTGCTTATTAAACTGAAAAATGAAATAAAAGTTTTCTTATAATGAAAATGTTTTTTTGTGTGGATAGAGACGAGTTTGGTATTGGTCGTACACTTTGCTCTACAAAACAATACACGATGTTTTGATAAACACAGTGTACCCGTACATTCTATTTCAGATTCTCATTAAAAACATTGGAAACGGAAAAGGAAAGTTCATTCATGAGCTTGATAAAACTAAAGGAAAAAATGCTTCTTAGGTTCATCTACAGCTAGAATGAATAAACAAACGTAATACGAGCAACTTCTAAGTAACACCGTAACCAATAACCAAAGCGCTTTCTTACTTTACACAGTATCATCGAAGTACTGAGGTTTTTTCAATAAAGTACAAAATATAGTACTTTCTTAAATTCGTAAGGGTGTGGGTGTCGGTGTGACTCTTGTTACATCCATACCCACACTCCCAACCCACACCGATACCTACCCAGCCACACCCACACTCACACTCCCATTCCCACCCCACCCACATCCAGCTTCTTGATTTTAATTCATTTGCACGATTATTTTTTATCAGAAGAGTTTAACATCATAAGTAATTTCTACTAACGATATATACTTCATATACTACAAATGTGAGCGTTTCAAAAAGAGTGTCATCTTAAATGCATCACTGGATTTTTCATTGGACATTGATTTTATGCCTCATGCAAATGCGGCCATAGACTATTGACTCACCAATGATCAACTCAACCACAAACTCATCTATTTGCTTTTGTTCATTGGAATCGTTTGCTTCGTTCATCATCATTTCATCAGCATGACTTCATAAAGATGAACTTATCGACAGTATGTTTCAAAGTCATAAACAACTGAATTTTATACAAGCTCAGTCTATTATTGTTCACTTTATTCAAAAATAATTCTTATTTAACTAAAGAATT